ATTTTTAGGACAATTGCGGGAATTATGACCTGGTTTACCGCACTTTGAACATTTATATTGTGATGATTTTAAAACCGCGTGTACTGCTCGAGTTAATTTTGCTTGATTAATCCCCATCTCCTCAAATTGTTGTCTCAAATCTTCAATAGGATCATAGTCATAATCTTCTCCTGGTAAACCTGTATTATCAAAATTATCTAAAAAACGGTTCATAGCAAGATCATCTGCTTTTTGTTTCCCTGGTCCAGAAGGTTTCTTCAAAGTTTGCTGTCCTTTAGCAATAGTTCCTTTCAAACCTGCTATAATTTTTTTGAAATCATTTTGTGAAAGCGTAATTTGATTAGACTGTTCTTCCTGAGGCTTAGAAGATGTAGATTGTGTGGATTCTATAACAGATTTTATTAAGTTTTTAACTTGAGTTTCGGTCATACCTGTATTGCCTGAGTAATTATCCTTTCCACGACCTTTACTGGATGATACTGAATCTGAGTTCGAATGTAGGTAAGCTCCAGATAATTGTTCTGCTGTATATCTTTCAATTTCTTCGAGTCGTGGGAGCAATTCATTCACAGATTTTTCAATTCCTAAACGTCGAACTTCCATTTGATTTGCGGGTGAAAGTCCACGAAGAAATTGTAATCGAATCTGCTGTTCATCAATACCAGCGAGCCTAGCTAATCTACACAAATTAGAATAAAAACGACCAACTGGATCGCCTCCTTGAACAGTTGTACCAAAGAGAACTCGTTGTTTTTCAGCAGTAACTGTGGGATAATTAGTCTTAAACCGATATAATACCTGTCCAAGCATAATTCCAAGTGCAACTACAGTATTACCTGCATTAGCATTGGGTGCATTAGGTAAGCGATCAGTTGGTCGTCCATCAGCAAAAGACCAATCTTCATCAAATACTGTATGAGCTGGAATTACAACATTACCATTCTGCCCATTTGCACGATTTAAGGCCTGTGCTCCAATTTGACCGGCATTTCTTCCTTGAACACCAGCTAAATTTGCTTGCATTGTATTATCAAGTAAATTTCTCAATTCCCAATTTTTTCCGTGGATGGTTCTTTCATACCAATCTTTAGCGTCACCCTTGAGAGATGCTATAAAAACACCATGAGCATTGATTCTATTAGCATGACCAGCACCTACATCTATTCCAGAACCTACAAGCCATAATCTAAATTCTTCAATATGTTCTTCGGGATCTTCAGTAGGATATCCATTGAATTTTTTTAATTCGTAACCCACCATACCTGTTCGATTATTATTTATATGCGGATTATTATTCTGTAGTGCAAAAATTTGTTGATTTAAATTAATAATTAATTGTCGAGTATTGTGGGTTTTATTTTTCCATTTTTCATACCTTGGAACAACACGATCATACCAAAATTGTAGGAAAACCTTATCATTATTACATCGCCACAACTGCTGTTCCAATTGCTGGTTTGATCGTTTATTCAGAAGCTGTAATGCAAATTGTTGATGTAACAATGAACTAATACGCCAATCTTTTTGAGCTTTAATAAGGATAGCATTCAACTTCCAAAAATTGCGAGATTTTTCTATATCCTCTATTTGTCTTTGAAAAACGATATTTTGCTGATTCAATAACCCAAGGTTTTGATGTTGTTGGACTACCTGAGCTTGGAAGGTATCTCGTTCTTGAGTAAGCCGATTAACTTGATTTTGTAAAGCGATATTTTGTTGTCTATAGAGATTGACATCCTGTTGTAGCTGGACTATTTGAGCATCTCTATTATCTCGTTGGGTTATAACACCATCTATATCCTGGTATGCAGACTGATAATTAAGACGAACAGCATTTAAGGAACCTCTAATACCATTTATAATATTTATAGGATTATTTAATGGTGTTCCAGCACCTCTAAGATGATTTTCAATACGAGTCAACCCTCGATCGATTTGTATAAAAAGGTCAAGATTCGCCATATCTGTATTTTCCTCTTCTGAATTATATAAACTTGGAGAGCTTCTTCGAGAAGAAATAACTTTGAATCTATGCCTTATATTTTGAATCCGATCTTCTGATTCTTGTAATTGTTTCTCTATATTATCGATATAAGATATCTTGTCTCGGACCTCTTTTTTAGCTTGATATAAGCTTTTTTTAAGGGATGATATTTCCGATCTCAAATCGGCCTTTTCTTCCTCCGAAGCATTCTCGAGCCGTTCCAGTTCTTTATTGAGAGATTGAATTTCATTCTCACATCGGGTATATTTACGTTCTAGATCCTTTATATATTTTTCATTCGATCTATTGATTGAAACTTCGTTAGATAACTCATCTCTCAAAGCTTGATTTACGTGTTCCAGTTCCAATTCCCGATTAGATGCTGGCCCACGAGATATTCGATTGGGATGTGGTCTTTGAAATGCCATAGTTATTTTTTACGGCATATTATATTGACTTATCTCTGGACTTTGTCAAAACATAATTTATAGTGAAATGTATCAAAAATGAGTCAGCCTACTATTATAATCAACAGTGATGAAGAATTGGATCTAGTTTGTCGACTACTTTTTTATCAACCCACTGGTTATCACTCCAACCCTCGAAAGTTATATAAAGATCTCAAGAATGAAGGATATCGATTTCCATTCAAAAAAGTACGTGACTGGCTTATAAACCAGAATGAATGGCAAAAATACGCTCCATCACCAAAAGATACTCCACGGGTTAGTTATGGTAAAATTTCACGTCCGAACTGCGTACATATGTGTGATTTATTGCGCCTTACAAATGATATCGTTAATAAAAAGACATATAAATGGGCACTCACTATTATAGACGTTGCATCACGTTTTAAATGTGCTGTTCCTCTTACATCGAAAAATAGCTCAGAGGTTGCCAAAGCCTTCAAAAAAATTTATAATGATCCATCAAATCCACTTGTATGGCCAACACTTCTACAATGCGACCAAGGGCGTGAATTTATGGGTGAGACGAGTAAAATAATGGAAGAACATAATGTAACGATTAGATTAATTGGCGCATATAGTCATCGGGGTCTAGCAATTGTAGACAGTTTCTGTAAGACGCTTGCAAAAATGCTTTATAAAATTCAGTATGCTGTGGAATCAATATCTGAAAATCCTAAATTAATAAGAGAGTGGGTTAAGTATTTGCCAGAAGTTATTGATTATCTAAATAATTATCCAACACGTCTTATTAGAGCTCCTGGATTCTCGAAGTGGGGGTTAGCACCAATAAAAGCCATCAAATTAGAAAAGGTTGAATCTCGGCCATCCACAAAATATAAACGTCCTGTTGGAAAGGATGAGGAGAATAAGTTAAAGAAGGGTGATAATGTTCGTTATCTGCTTGCTAATGCGGAGTGGGAAGGAGGTATGGAAATGACACGTCGTGCGACCGACCCAGTATTTTCGCCTTCTATTCATAAAATCCGCAAAATCGTGATAACGAAGAACGAACCAGTTTTATATTATCTCGGAGATGATGACGATGAATATGCTCCAAAGCGTGGATTTGTGAGAGAGGAACTCTTATATGTGAATATTAATACGCTTCAGTATCCGCCCCAGAGTATATT